ATTTTTTTTCAAAAAAAAAAAAAAAAAAGAGAGAGAATTATAGGGGTAATGAAAATATATTCAGGTGGATACGAGAATGTTCAAACCTCGTCTGTTCATCGCGTTTCACTTGTCAACATCCACGTCGTGTTTTGTTGCTCACTGCATGTTTTCCATAAAAAAGAAAAATCATGCAGTGTAACTTATAATATTAACAAAATAATTTGTGTCATGAGGACTTAAAACAGAAGATCCCGAGGTGATCATGGTATTGTAGCAAATAATTTCCTGATTTAATATTTAACGTTTTCAAAAAAACTTTATTTTTCAGTCAAGACGCTCCGGGCCTTTACATTGGTCACTCAGATGTCACACAGCGAATATCTGCGGAAAAGGTACGATACTCAGATTCTCAGATACTATGATACTCAGGTTAGGTAAGAACTAAACCGCTATTTCCATGAAGTTATCAGAGACCACTTATCTAATCTGAGTTGGGAGGAGAGGGGAGGAGAGGGGATGAAGAAAGGTGGATACGGACACGCCTGGATCTCAGATTCTTTCTCCAAGAAAGTTAGCTTGATGACCAAACAAATGTTTAGATCTTTTAAATTCGTATTATTAGATTTAGCCGCAAAGGTGGACAAAAAAATCCGAAAAGGAGGTTTCGCAGATTCGGGCAAAACACAGTTGAGATACCGACCACTTATATCTTTTCTGTGATCAGCTAACACAAACTCTCCCTCCCCCATGACATCTTTGCATCTCCACTTTGAGGTCCATCATCTAGCTCAATATTTCAATATGTATGATATTAGGCTCATATGAGTAGAGTAAAAAATCTTTTAATTAAAATGCAATAAAAGATAACGAAACAAATTTTTGACGTAGAAACCGGGACTGGAAGATGAGCAGCCTGGCCTCCTTCCAGATATCATGGATTCTCGCCTTGTTCTCAAGACAGTTCGTGTGTTCCTGAGTTCCACCTTCACTGATACAAGAGTGGATCGCAATGCTTTGATGGAAGAGGTTTTTGAACCAATCAGAGAGCTTTGTCAGGAACATGGGATAGCATTTGAAGTGGTGGATTTACGTTGGGGTAAGTATCGTATTACAAGAAATAAAGGTCTGTTTTCTGCAACGTTATGGTTCCTAGTGACCCCAACATATATTACCTTTGCAACAGTTTATAGTATTAGCATACAATAATCATTATTATAGTAACGGTAATTTTGTTTAATGAAGCCTATATTTCAAAAACATTCCAACAAGGTATTCGTCAGGAATCTGTAGACGATCATCGCGTGGTGAACATCTGTATGGAAGAAATTAAACGCTGTCAAGAGACCTCCCTCGGTATTGCGTTCATGGCGATACTTGGAGATAGATATGGCTGGCGTCCACTCCCTCCCTCTATCGTGGCTAAAGAACTTGACGCTCTATTTGAACATATTGATCCATCAGAACATCAACTTATACTGAAGTGGTACCTGCGTGATGATAATGCAATACCTCCTTCTTACGTCCTGCAACCTATCTCCACCGAGTTTCCCGTACGATCAGAGAACAAGGACGAGGTGTCTATTGCTTGGAAGGACTGGGGCAAGGTAGAGAAGACCATATGGAATTCGTTGAAGTCTGCTGTGGATGTTGTCGAAGCGGATACAGAACTAAAACGTGCGTTCACCAAATCTGTTACTCACCTAGAGGTGGAGAGAGGAGTATTGACCGAGGATCCAACCAGCCAGCAGTCACTTGTGATTGACAGACGATTTGATAATGTTAATGAGGAGGATCCTCGGGCTAGAGACTTTAAGGATATTCAGGTATTAGTGTTTTCATTGGCAGTAGACCTTTTCCTACAGCTTGCGAATTTGGGGAGAAAATAAAGCTCCTGTCCGGCTGACTTTCAAAATTGTGGTTTAAAAATAAGTTAGAATTTTACTCGTCTCCTATGACACTCGCCAGCCGTGTGGGGGTTTTTATACATGACATTGTCGGGAAACACAAACTCACAAAGTTTTCAAGGTCACGTTCCAATAGAATGTCATGGAAACCCCTTGATTGCCGTTCCCCAAAACCTAATTTGTCCCAATCGTCAGTAATATACCCCTTGCATATGACTTCGCAGCTCAATTTGGATGGGCAAAACAAAAGGATTTCAATCTCATGAGGATTGGAAACCTATGGTTATGTCCTTCAAATCGAGCTGCATTCCGACGTGCTGCAAGGGGTCTATTGCATTTCGCATTCCACGAGTATTACTGAAAATTACTGAAAATGATAAACATATAAAACACGTAATACCTTTCAGGACGAGAAAAGTATTGCCTTGGTTAATGATCTGAAAGAGAACAAGATCCCTTCGTACCTGGATGTCAAGTCTGTTTTAAAATTCAAACACCTCAAGTGGTACAGAGAAGGGCTGACTATCGATACTCATGAAAATTACATCAAAGGTTCGTTAGCAGTCTCTATGAAGGTACAAAGTSTTTCCAATGTTTTCCAATGTGTTTCAACGGTCCTTTGATTTCTTTTTTTAGATATGTGTTCCAAGGTGAAGACTCTCTTAACTGCTCGTATCAATGAGATCATCGAAGCAATAGGTCCTGCAAACCCTCTAAGAGAGGAGATAACACGACATGCTCTATTCTGTAGAGATCACGTTCACTCCTTTGTAGGACGTACAGATATCTTATCAACTATCCACCAATACGTTGGCCAAAATAATCCAACCATGCCTTTGGTTCTGCATGGAGAGTCTGGAGTTGGGAAGACGACGCTAGTAGCAAAAGCCACAATGGAAATTCAAGAAAGCAATCCCAACATGGCGGTGTTGTATCGGTTTTGTGGCACGACGCCACAGGCTTCTACTGGACGTGAACTCACTCTAAGCTTGTGTAACCAGATAAAACAGGTATGGTGTTGTGCATGACCCAACGGATCATCTTGGCTAATACTGTGCAGAATATTGACATGTATTGTGTAGTACAGGTGTGGTATGGTGTTGTGCATGAATGCGGACTCAAGACCATCTTGGCTAATACTGTGTAGAATATTGACATATCGTACAGTTGTGGTATCTGTAAGATCTTCTTGGCCAATAATGTATAGAATATTGACATGTATATTATGTAGGTGTACMACGTAACTGATGAACTGGAAGAGGATTATGGGTCTCTCTGTGAAGCCTTCCCAAAGATCATGGCACATGCGTCAAAAGAGAAACCTCTGTGCATCTTGATTGATTCACTGGACCAGCTGACAGACGAAAATGGAGCGAGACGCTTTTTGGAGTGGTTACCAAGACGAATTCCCGCGCATGTACGGTTGATTGTGTCGACTTTACCGGAGGAAGGTGGCTGTTTGAACAGACTCCGGACTTTTGGTCTGCCAGGCAAGAACTTTGTTCAAGTAAGCCTTGCACATACTTATCTAAAATATATGATTCTTTTCCGTTACTGGAATTCCATTGTTTCTAGACTCAACACCCAGCAATTTCATTGCTGCATATAGGAAAGGCAATGAGATCTCCCTATTTTCTAATTTGACTGGTTCTTTACTAATATTTTACCTTCAAAAAGAGATTCATTCGAACTCATCATTGTCTACATAAGTTTGAAAGTAAAAATTAAATTATTTGGATATTTTTTAGGTCCAGCGTCTGGAACCGAGTGATGGGGCTGCCATATTGGACACATGGCTTCAACAAGCTAAAAGAAAACTGACGCCCGAACAAAGAGGTCTTGTCCTGAAGGCCTTTGAGAACTGTCCTTTACCACTGTACATGCAGTTGGTGTTTAACGAATGCCGTAGTTGGCAGTCCTACAGGTAAAACTAATCAACAAACTGCAATTTGTTTGTCCAGAAGTAACAAGCATAACAAGTAGTTCGTAGTTTGACCTCAGTGTTCTCTCGCACTTGTTTCGAGTTCTATATCTGTAACTGCTCTGGATGTGGTGTAAGGAAACGATATCAACTGCCTTGTTCAAATTTAGTTCATGAATATATATTAAATATATGTATATATATTTTTGTTTACAGGAAAGTTTCTGAGCTCAGCCTTCAGCCGGACGTGGTGAGTATGGTCAACGCTCTCTACGAACGACTTGAGAAATACCACGGGAAGCTACTGGTTAGTCGTGTGTTGGGTTTCCTGGCAGCCGTGTCTGATGGCATCAACAAGGATGATATTCTACACATCTTGAGCTGTGACGAGCAGCTGTTGAAAGACGTCTTGGTTTGGCACGAGCCTCCTAAGAGAAGGTTACCACCATTGTTGTTGGCACGTCTTAAATACGACCTGGGACCCTTCTTGGTGGAAAGAGGTGCGCACGGAGTATCGCTGGTGGCATTTTATCATCGGTAAGGCTCAGAACCACTCGCAACTAGTAGATCAATTAAAGGTGAAATCTAGTTTACTTAGCCGAGGCGAATTTGCCTCCCATTAAAGATTTTWAAATTAATTTATAAAAGTTACCGTTTCTGGGTTAAACGTTGCCGATACTACTCAAGGAAATGACATGTTGCCTAAAATGGGAAACCAAATTTAGTTCAATTCTCTTAAATAAACAAATGACCTAAGAAAGAACTTTTAAAACCGAACCAAACTACATGAGACCAAACACGGTTAATTTATTTCATTTTTTCCAGTCAATTCATCGAAGTAGCAGCAAAGCGTTACCTGTCTGGTGATGACTACAAATCAACCTACCAGTCATTAGTCAAGTACTACTCGGGCCAGTATTACAATCAATATGGTAAAGATCGTGCAATACCATCACAACCAACTGCCTACTCAGCAGACGCTCTCAACATCAGGAAACTGGAACTCCTTCCAAGATCTCTGATGGAAGCCAGAGATTTCGAGCAGTTCCGTCGATGGCTGGGAGATTTGGAATTCATTCAAGCCAAGTGTATGGCTGGCCTGGGGTATGACACCATGGCAGAATGTACACTTGGTTATCAATATGCTCTGCAAGAAGACGTCAGCCAAGACATCAAAAACGATCTTGATGACATTTTGGGGTTTCTACGATCTGAAGTGCACATTTTATCAAAGAATCCGATTCTGACTTTTCAACAAGCTGTGAATTATCCCAAARRAAGTTGGATCGGACGAGCAGCAGAGGCCATGCAAAAGGGATTCGGGGACATGTCAGAGAAGAGCGTGATACCTCGTCCAGATGGATGGATAGAATGGATAAACAAGCCTGAGGTGTCCGAAGCTTTTGAGTTTGAATTGGATGGACATTCTAAAGGAGTGTTGTCCACGTGCTTCTCTCGTGATAACAGGTACAGTATGAACAATTGTGTCACCGTTTCACGATAATTCTTTTGGAATTCCCATGCTGCATGGTGGAGAAATATTACTTGAGGAATGACAAGGTTCAAAAAGCTAAAAGATTTTTGTTCTGTTTGTTTGCTTGTTAGGAAGATCCTGTCTGCATCAGAAGACTGCAGCATTCGTTTCTGGGACAGTCAGACGGGTTCACTCCTTGCACAGCTGGATGGACACACGGCTGCAGTAACATCAATCAAAACATCTCCAGACGGAAAGCTTGTTGCCTCAAGCTCTGAAGACCACACCATCCGACTATGGGACTATCAAGAAGAAAAGCTGATCAGATGTTTRGAAGGCCATCAAAAGAGAGTGACATCCATTGCATTCAACGGAGATGGTACCAAGCTGTTGTCCGTATCGCTGGACAAGACAATGCGCGTGTGGGACGTAAGGACGGGAGCATGCATAGAGACAATATCAGGACATTCTGGATATCCACTGTGCTGTGTCTGGTCACCTGTTGATGATGGTGTTGCAGCGAGTTGTGGTGATCAGTTGGAGATCTTCATCTGGGACTTGGACAACAAATGTGTCAGGTTTGTTACACGAAAATTAAATAAAGGTATAAACCCCTTGCAGCATATTATCAATGAAGCTCTTTTTGGAGAGCAAAACAACGAATTAACTGTCTAATGTTTAGTACTCGAGATTGGCCTTCCCTGGGAATGCTTGGGTCTATAGTGCATACTATAGTTTACGGTTTATGGTTGTCATCCTCATTCAGTTGAGCACCAGTGTAGTCTGTTTACTGATTCCCTACATATTAACCTATTCTATAGCCTTGAATCCTTTGAGGGTTTTTGAACCCATATTTTCATAAACTGTTGCGTTATCATTCTAGGTACAAGCTGGAAGGCCACACCATCGATGAAGCCATGATTAATTTCCCCGATAAAGACAAGCTACGAGGACACGAGGAACTTTATTACGATTCTCTTCTGTGGTCGGTTGATTTCTCCAGTGATGGGAAAATGTTAGCGTCTACTGGTACGGATAGTAACGTGTTTGTCTGGGACGTGGAGACGGGAGAGAGGCGCTGTACTTTTAGTATTCCTAACGATGGATCTGCTGTTTGCTTTGTGGAAACTCCGCAAGGAAGACGCCTGGCTGCTGCCTCTGCTCCTCACATGACCGTGACTCTGTTCGATGTAGGAGACAATCCACAAACTATCGCTGTACTTGGCGGTCATTCTGACTGGGTTTTGGCTATTGCTTTTAGTTCTGATGGATCCCGGTTGACATCTGCCTCGAGAGACAAAACCATCCGTGTATGGGACATAGAGGCTGCAGAGAAATTGAAGGAGATTCGCTTTCACTCGGAAAGATGTTGGTGTGTTGCGTACTCGGGAGACGGTCGATGGCTTGCATCTGCTTCTGATGACTTCAAGGTAAGGAGCTGGTCAGTCTTGATTTGAATGCAGGATAGAAAGTAGACTCTTATTCTGATGTTAATATGGTTAGAAAACAGAAAGTGAAGTAAGGGATTAATTAGTGGTGGTTAGACAGTCACTGCTATTGTTGGTGCCAGTTTAAAGGTTCTTGGCACAGAGGTACTGTCAGTATTGTTACTGATATACTATATATATTTTATGGTTAGGTTGGTGTGTGGGACACCACGACTTTCCAACAGGTACTTGTTTACGAAGGACACGAGAAAAAGCGCAAGTTCTCTTGCGGTATTCGAGCCTGTACCTTCTCACGTGATTCAAGTCTAGTGGCCAGCGGTGGAGATGAGATGAAAATCCGTATTTGGTCCAGAGAAACTGGCAAGGACAAGATCGTTCTTCCGTGCGAGTCCATATTGTTACCGTGGTGTATCCGGTTTGGTGCAGAAGATAAACGCTTGATTGCAGTTGGAGAGTTTTCTAAAGGAGTCTTAGTGTGGGACCTGGAGACGGAGACCAAGATTGCTGACCTCGGCGGACACGAGCTTTTCTGTCAGTACACAGAGTTCTCTCCGTGCGGCAAATACATCATCTCGAGTTCCATCGATAATACTGCTAAGGTATGGAAAGCTGATACCTTTGATCAGGTGGCTACTCTGGATCATCCTAAATGGGCTACCTGTGCTGTGTTCTCGCATGACTGCAAGTTAATCGCGACGTGTTCCCCGGATTTGAAAGTTCGTCTTTGGAGTGTGGAAGATTTCAAAGAGAAAGCTGCATTGGAAGGCCACAAGTCTGAAATCCGAATGGTTTCGTTCTCACCAGATGATAATCACGTGGCAAGTGCTGGTCTTGATCAGAGCATTCGAGTGTGGAACGTGAAGAGCCAGGCCCAGGTGCAGGTGTTTCATGCTGTATCGGGTCTGTGGGGTTTAATGTGGCACCCGAAGGAGATGGATCTGTTGGCAGCTGGAGATGCTGTTGGATATTTGTATTTCTTGAAACTCAAATCAAGGGATAAATCGATGGCGATCAAAGAGTAACCCAAGAGTAACTGTAACTTGAGTTTGAATCACTCTTCACTGCTGATGAAAATCTTCGAAATCAAGGAAACGATTGAAAACCCTTTAGTTGTTTGTTATATGGACGCGTGCTTGAACTTTAGGTATGAACAAAGACGGATAAAGTTACGACCTTGGATAAAGTAGAAAAAATATAAGAACGAAAAACGTTTAATGGTAAGACAAAGTAGATGGTTGTTTTTGATTTTGCGATTTTAAACTAAGTAGAGTTCTCCAAAAAATAAACTATGAGAGAGAGTCCACATTGTCATGGTAACGCTTCTAGGATCTAGTGGTTAAAGTGAATGGAATTAGGTGTGGGCTTTTTAGATAGAATGTGAAAATCAAAATAATTTAGTTAGGGTACAAGAGAGACGGACAGTGAGAACAACACACAATTTCTAGAAAATGGTTTTAATTACGAAATATCACGCTTAGCAATAAAATAATATAATCATCTCTGTACAATTGTCATATTAATTACATTAACAATCACTAATGCTTTATATATTACCAATCTATTTCAATCATGACTAATAATTTAATAACCTTTACAATTGGGATATTAAGATATAACATATAAAATTTCCAAAACGCTGACTGGTTGGCAAAACAAGCCGACAATCCTATTGGCTGATGTAGTCTGGTCCCAGTATCCAACTGTCCGCGTGATCGAGAATACAGAGCGAAGGCTGGAACTAGACTAAATCTAGTATTATGGTACAATAATTACAGAACTATTTATAGAGCCGTGGGGTTTATAAACATTTCAGGCAATAATTTAACTTTTTTGAAGGATAGATAGATGGATGATTAAATGTCGAAGTGCAACGCGGCGGTTTCATAACGTCTTATGATAGCAAGGATTTTATAAAGTTGCATGTAATTATTACGTTAAATAGCATTGTTGAGAGTTTTCCTTTACGATACGATAAGGAACGTAAAGCAAGTGAACAAGAATGAGTGAGTTAGAGAAGTAGTATGACATCAGCAAAAAATGCACCAAGAGTAAGGAGTAGTAATAGGGTGGGTAGGAAGGTAGGTGTAGTCTCTACCATACGACTGTTTCCTCCCTAACATTGGTAGCAATGGCTTCACATTACAAGCTTATACGAATGCATTAGCACTACAAGGTAGAGGCCAACGAAGTACACTCTACTTCATATTCTGCCGTATATGTTCAGGTACTACTAAACAACGCTAAAAGCTATTTACAGAAGTAAAAAATGATGATTCTTTTTTAAGGGATAAATACTATTTGATGCAAACATATCCACTAATACCACTAAAGTGCTTCTTCACRGATCTATTGGTTCGCCTGGATCAAACCTGGCTCGATAGACAAAACGATGGTATCAAAGGCTGTCAAAGACCGCACTAGTTTGTTTTCTGTAGACAACAGGGTCTAGATCGAAAAGATGATATCAAAGGCTGTGCTAATCGATTTTCTGCATGATACAGAAGTAGAGTATCATCTTTGCAAGTCCAAGTAGATGACATCATCCTATTATGAAAGGGTGCACTAGTCAGTTGATGGTATAACATGCCCTGGTAGGATCTTAATACCGTCTTGATCGTGTAGGTTGTCTTGTTGATGCACCTGGAAATAAAATAGAGACAAAAGTTAAGGTTTTGGGTGCAGGTGCTTCTACCAAACCATAACTGCCGTGAAACATCTATGAACCCCTTGATAGTAGAAAATAAACAGTACAACAATATTTGAACAAGATGAGTACCCCATGTACACCAAGGCTTAAACATGTTTTAGAGTGGTTTAACTAAACAGGTTTGGAAAACTATCTACGAACACTTCAAAATATTTGGTGAAATAATGCATGTAAACTATCCTTTGTCTTGCTCTGACAATATTTTAGAAAGTTTCATTATATTGCAGGTTTCTAGTTTCTCAATTTTTTTCCTAATGAAAACATAGTTTAACTAAACACGTTTAGGTGTGAATGGAGTAGAGGTCTTTTATTTCGGGCTCCCTTTTGTTTTATCTTAGCCCACCCTTAGACAATATAACAGTGTAGCAGTAGTCGTAACTAACCTTTACTTGCACTAGCTAGTCTGTTCTGGAGCGACTCGAGTCTCTGTATGTACATTGACAGCGAGTGATCACCATTCTCTCGTGGAGATGAGCCGCTTAGTGATGAACTCCCTGGAGAACTCTCTCGAGGAAGGCCCTCATCGTAACTGGACAGTGTGCGGTTACCTCGCGGCGATGAGTGTCGAGGTAACACGTCTGCACTTCGTCCATGACCGATAAAACCATTGTGATCCCTTTCATCCGATTCCGAGTCCCGAACAGGCGGCGACATTGGAGGTCGATAGCGATCGTTAGATTTCGGAGAGGTTCGTAAAGTACTCGGAGACTGATGACGCTCTTTTCTCGATGGACTCGGAGCTCTTGGCGACCTGCTTGCGTAAGGAATTGTACGTTCGCTAGTCATTGAAGCAGAAGTTAGAGGTTCTGTTCTCCTTGAGGTGAGTTCCCGTTGACTTTCTAGATCCCTCGTCCCGTAAAGAGAACCAAGTCGATCAGTTGTCGTAATTGAAGGTCTAGTAGACTGTTGGTCTCCTATGTCTCCATTAGTATACCTTGACCTTCGGTCTATTGTACTTGTACCATAACGACCTGGCGATGAAGAAGTGCCTTGTGGAAACCTGTAATCTTCATGGTGATGCGTGCTAGGTAGCGGTGAAGTGCCTGCAACACCATTGGTCAGATGGGGTACAGAGTATAAACCAGAACCAACATTAGCTTCTACTGCTCGATGTGGTTGTCCATCCAGAAGTGGTGATGGTGGGCCGGTATAATGACCACCAACAGGTTCACGCCTTGTTCTAGTTGGTGCACTCTCAGTCACCAATGGCTTAGTTCTTCTTGATACACCGACTGGTTCGTACATAGTCTGGTTAGCCTGAAGTAAATCAGGGCTCGACGTTACCGCAGACCTGGTTTGCTTGGAGCTCTTTCTATCGTCAACTCCTGAAACGCGTTTACTGACCCGCTTACTCTTGTTAACCAAGAAGTGCATGCGCTTAATGGCAATAACCGCACGGACGGCCATTCTGAAGCGTGAAAATCCTCTGGGGAATCGACTCGGTTGGTCAGTATTGGTTGGATAAGCTCCCATACGTGAAATCATTGCTAATGTAGTCTGTTCACACTCTTGGAATCCCCCCAGGAGGAGAAGTAAATATCTCTTCTGATACACCAACGCCTTTCTGAAGCTCTCTGAACGAACGTAACGGCTGTAAAGCTTTTGAATCTATTCAGAAGGAATAAATAAATATAAATAAATATACTAAAAAAATAAAAAATAAAACGATTGAGACTTTTCACAGACTCAGTTAGTTCTACTACAATTGACTGCGCAGAAAAACGACAAGTCCGCTACGTTCACGATTTAAAAAAAAATCTACTTGGTATTCGCGAAAATGTCAGTTTTTCTGCTGATTAAAATATCACCTCTCCCAAGTACACGGCTTTATATCTCAAATACGCATTCAATAAATTTTGGTCGCATTTGATATTTTGCTATTTGGCTCCAAAAGAACGTGTTTACAAAATATTGAGCTTAAATGCGTAAAGCTGTCCTTATGGCGAAAACCAAAAACCGTTTTCCTACCCTGTCACTACGATTATTTCACAGACGTCCGTATAATTGTCACTCACTGCTTTACTACTCAGTGATGACCCTACGAGCGTCTGCCTAAGGAGCTATGGAAACCGAAGTTTGGAATTTGTCGCAGGAAAAATATAAAAAACACCTCTCCAACGCTTCAACATTCGATTCTGAATCGTCTAATTTTCATACCGACAATGATGCAGAGAAAATAGAGCTTTTTGAAGAACCATTTGATTGTAAGATACTTTCCCTCCTTATACTATTGCGGATAAACTGCAGTTTTATCGCTCACTGGCAATTCAAGGGAAAAAACTTGTTCTCAAATCGAGAAAAACCGCAGCATGTACTGGCAGCTTAAAATACCTTGGCTTGCGACCAGGTTCCTTCAGTGGGTTGGCTACTAGTTGGAATGGTCTCCAATCCTCGTCTTTCGGTAGCTTTACGAGCCTCATCTCGAAGACGTGACAGTTCAGCCTTTGCAGCACTTAAAGCATTCTGAGATTTGAGTTTTTCTTGCGCCCAGAGACTTCTTTCAGCGGCTAGCACAGATTCTGCATGCTCCTTTGCTTGTCGGGCAGTCTAAAAAGAGAACCGAATATTGAGGAAAAAAGGAATAAAGAGAGGAGAGGAGAGGTGAGGAGAGGAGAGAAGATGAAATAAGAAAAGTGACAAGCCTTACCTGTTCGTCGGTCTTTTCTTTATATCTGTACTGCGAAACCTGTTCCTCAAACTTCCTCAGTGAAGAGAGTAGCTCTGTTTTCTCTTCATTAACTTTAGCAATATAACTGACTAATTCTGAATTTTGTCGCATTGCACGTTCATAAGCAGCAGATTTGATGGGTGATAAAGGAATGGTTTCATTATCCTGTGGGAAGGAATTCAAAGAGTTTTATATTACAAATTGTTAAGGCTACGAACACAACTTACTAAAGGTGCGGCATTACAGGCAACAAATCAAATAAACCGCGAGCAACAAATGTTCTTTTTATTGCAAAGACTGGAAAAAACGCTCGTACTTCTTGGAGAGAGAAGAGAGAAGCTTAGAGAAATAGACACAAGAGCTATAGGTTAATTTTACTTACGTCAATGTGAACCGTTAAAGTGGCTCTGATTTGGTCCAATTCTTTAAGCAAATTGGACAAAGATTGGTGGATTTCGTTCAATGGTCGGGTATCCCTAGGTTTATAAAAATAGCAGTGAATAAGTAAATAGTGAATACGAAGCATGGGAAGCAAATGAAAAGTTTGACCTCCATTATAATTGACACAAAATATTGTAGACGGTATATCTGCTTTAAAGTTTGACTATTGCTGAACCTAGTTAATGTTTTTGATTCCCCTTAGTTACCGTTGCTATGTCCCACAAGCTCTACGAAGTAGTTATAATATCTCAGAATATAAAACTCTTGATAATGGAAATTGATTAGGAATGTTTCAATTGTTCATCGTCCTGTGATGATCAAAGAAAATTGCCTCGTGATCCTTGTATTACTTTTTAAAGCAAATACCGTGTAGATGGTAGTGGGAGGGAAGATTGTAATTCCACTGGGATTCACCGGCTTTGAATGGTTCGCTATCGTCTGAGTGGGAACCATGAATGGTCACATGTCAACGATGAAGGAAGGGGGTGACATACCTGAAGGAGTCTTGGTCTTTAGTCTTTTGCAGTTCATTTTCATGTTTATTAATTAAAACCTGATGCTGTTGTCTCATTGATTCAAGCTGTTGCTGGAGAAGCAACAGTCGAATACGCATCGGGTACATATTAGCGTCCTGTTATCAAAGGAGTCACATACACCAACATTAGATTCACAAGATATAGTATTAAATATATTATGGTCGCATATTGTAAAGGTAAGTCGATAGTGATTAAGTACTCTTTTGGGGTAAGCGGTGCTCCCCTTTTTCTTCATCAGGGCTTCGTTTAAACATGAAAGAAAGGATTCACATACACCACCATTACATTATAGTAATATCATATACTGTGGTATTAAATGTTAAGCGCGCATATTATAAAGTCGATAGTGACGAAGTTTCTTTTATGGTAGACGGTGCTTTAAGCAAGAACCTGTTGCGAGCACTGCTGTGGCATCAGCCATAGTGCATTCCGGGCATCGAATGCAACATGCAACAAAACTTTTATCAAACTTTTTTTGAAATAGCTGTAATTCCGTACACAACACCATGCCCACCTTTTCGCTTTCCTTCGCGGTCAGTCGATCAGCTTCGTTCCGTAACTCATTCACTTGACGTTGCGTATCTTCAGCTTCCTTCTCAATTGCTGCTAACTTTTCTCTTTCACTTGACAATTTCAATTCTAAATTGATTCGTTTGCTTCTTTCAGCTTCCAACTCATCGCTCAGCTGTTTTTCTCTTTCTCTGTGTCCCATTGCCGTTGCTTGTTGTTTGTCACGTTCGTTTTGCATCTTACGAGCACGATGGCGTTCATTCTCTAGAGCTCCAGTTAGGTCTACTAGCTGCTTCTACAATCGAGATAATAACATGCGTTAAGAAAACCAGAACAAAAGCAGGTGATTAATTGATAATTATATATATAATTGATATATATTGGTATTGGTCATTTGCCGCACGACGCACGAAGCAACCTCTGGGCTGACCACGGCTAACTCACAGATCTAATTGGAAGTTAACATATTAGATTTTGCGGAGGGAGGAAAATCGGAGAAAAACCCTCGAATCAAGGAAGAGATCTAACAAGCTCTACCAGCATGTAAAGCCAAGTGCCGAGAGTCCAGAGACGAGTGCGCTAACATTATACCACCCTTGATTTCTTTGCATAGAGCTAATTTCGTATGACCGTGAAAAGCAAGTACGTGGCGTGACCGTCACGGTAATCTCTGAGCATTTTCATTGGCTGATTTACGATCTCGCGCACTGTGATTGGTTTATAGGATGTCGTTATTCCCGTACCGCGATGGTGCTGTGTGCAGTGCCGTTTCACAGTCATACAATTCTGCTCTACTAAGTCAGGGAAATTCAAGTGGTATTCAATGTATATTCATACCACGAACAGAAAGGCAAAATGAGTACACCAACTGAGTGTTACTAAAAAATTTCCTGCGTCAGTCATATGTTATGTAATGGCGTAACGTAATGTCACGCACGTCACGTCATACCTGTACACCATCCAAAGCACCCTTGAGTTGATGCGCAACAATCTTGTCTGTTTTGGTAGACTCTACGTTACGTTCTTTCTCTGCTTCAAGGGAAGCATCTAGATGTAAAGTCTTTTCTTTCTCTTCTTCGAGTGCTGTGCTTAAATCTAAGGCGTGGTTCCTCTCCAGTGAAAGGGCTTCTTGTAATCCTGAAGTGAGAAGGAGATACAGGTAACCATGAGTTAAAATGGGATAACGATCTTCAGTGATATCTCTATAAAATTAACCCTTTCATTAAACAGACAAGGCTGCACGGGTAAGCATATATTTACGATAAAACGAACCTATTTAGTGGACACCTCTATTAAGCGGACACAAGGTTCCGAAGGTGTCCGGTTAATACAGGTACGACTGTACTTTGTTCCTAACAATTACAGACTTCGTTCTCAATTACTGTAGAAAACTCAGAGTAGTTCACCAAACTGGAATATTCATTTCAAAACCTCCGAATAGCCATATCGTAAAGGCTACGAAATAAAAATAAAATAACATACAAAAAATAAAAATAAAAATAAATAACATGCACAGTAAGGCAGGTATGGTACATCTCATTTACCTTGTATAGTATTTTCTAGTTGTTTTACTCTCGCCTGTGAGGGCTGTACTTCATCTATTTTGCTTTGTAGTTCCTGCGCACGCAGTTGTTCGCGATTCAGGGCGTCCAGTAAATTTGCGTTTCGTACACGTTCTTCTTTCAACTCGACAAACATCTCTTCGATCACGTCCTTTTCTTTTGCTATAAAGAACGAAGGGAACAAACGTCAATCTTTATATTATTAATGATCTTCATGATAATTACGCGAAAATATTCAGACCGTACAAAATTTGTTTGATGGGAGATAAAAATGCAGTTCAGAAGAAGAAGAAGGAGAAAAAGGAGGAGGAGGAGGAGGAGGAGGAGGAGGAGGAGGAGGTGGAGGATAAGCGTGATATATGAATTACTCATGAAATAACACTCCGACCTCGAATATTTGCAACAAACGGTTAGAACTTGGGTCCCTCTTCTCTTATACAAAAGCATAAAATAATCGTATTTTGAGCGTAAAAAGAATCCTATCCACATAGTTACATACCTGCAGCATCGGATTTCAGTGCTCTTTCTGTTTCCAACTCGGCTTCCAGATTAGACGCGATAATCTTTTCTCTTTCCAACGCCACCTCCAGTTCAGTTTTCTGATGGCGCACGTCAAGTATCTGTTTGCGCAAATCTTCTGCACTCTCATGTGATTGGTTGGATAGATCTCTTGTTCGCCTCCGCTCTGATTCGAGGGCGTCCTGGAATTTCCTTGAACTGGCGCGTTCAATATCTATGGCCTGGTTTAGGTTGGCTACTCTTAATCGTTCTGCTTCCAAAGATGTTCTGTGGATTTGTTAGAAACGATACTGATGTCAAAGGACTGTTTGGGCATTGTTCATAATGTCTTACGAGAATCCACTGCCACACAACAGCTTTAGCATTCAATTCATTCATATAATCACGCAATGAAATGCAATAAAAATCATCCGACCAATCCATACCCATACCAGATGCGCAGGCAAGTTAATGTCATGCTGCAGTATTTCAGATCTTACCTGAATGTCGATGTCTGCAATCTTTCTTTCTCCAGCGCGGCCCCAAGATCGGTGATTTTACCCTTCTCTCTGGACAAGGCATCTTTAAGATTCGTCACTAAGCTTCGTTCGCGGTTAAGGCTGTTCAGAAGGTCTGTCTTGTCTGCTTTCTCTGTATCGACTGCTGCGCGTAAAGCGTCTGCAACGGCTTGTTCTTGCTCGACTTGACGTGTTTTGGATTGAACTGAAAAGAGGATGCAGAAGACATACTTATGAAATGAAATCGAAATGTGGAAGGTAAATGGTGTGATGTCTTGGTACAAGTTCGAAAAATACAAAGCTTGAGAGAAATTTGGACGCGGACGCATGATTACGACAAAAATTACGACGGGGAAGATCGCAGTGTTCCGCCTTTGTGATGTTGCCAGAAAAGTTAACAAAAATAGCTTGCCGTTGCGGTGCGGGTGTAGTGCGGGTGCAGTGCGAGGCGTCACATTGCGTCATTAATTCATTCTTCTCGGTAATGATGTAAACCTTATATTTTATTGTCAACTTTTAACTCGCTGGCATGGATTTGTCAAGTGAAGAAACCATCTGCTTTTGAACTTGTTAACGACTGTGTACGTCAGCTGTTAGGCGGCGAAATATTTCCCAGTTCTTAAAGTATCGAAAATACACTGTTCTAAAAATGGCTGACAAGTGCAAAGATGACTGGGTGACCGTCAATCATTATGGGAGCGGTTTTGGGCTTATTTAATACTTACTTTGTGCCTTCAAATCTTTTTCTCTTCTCTGAGCTTCTTCTCTGACAAGTTTAAGCTGTTGGTTTATTAGTTGTGCCTGTGTCAAAAAGAAATCCATAACATGACACCAACCATAAGAATAATTTTCTACACAGTCAAACGAAAAATGGAGAAGTTAGCATGTAGAGTTTGGATGGAATGCACTGTCGTTTCAAGTGAATATATAATTCTTAGTTAGAGCTGTTGCAATGKTTTATAAGGTGACCAACATCCAGGGTCTAGAAATATCTGCTTAGAAAGTGCTGTCTTTGCTTTAAAATATTTGCAAATGGTTAGACCTTCGTGAATCGGAAGACGTTGTAAAATGGCTGTCCCATCCTACGGTTGAGAAGTTAAAGAGTTAACTACTGTCACGTGTCACCTCTAAAGAAAAACGATTATTACATGAAGGTGTCTGCCCAAGTGTTTATCAGTAGACAAGAAAGCATACTCAAGGAAATGACAATGGGATAATGGGAAAACATTACACTGGTCTATTCTACACATGCAGTGACTGACCTGTTCTAAAGGTCGTTCATTGACCATATGACGCAGTTCTTGTATTTCGTTCAAAAGAGACAAACGATCCTGTTGGAGAAGCTCCGTCACCACACGATGGTTTAATTCATTCTGAATATCAAAGCCATAATATCAATTAATCATTAATCCCTTGAGCCAGCTAAGAGGGCCGTTTGTAGCAGATAATCAGCTAATTGAATCCCAGCAAATCTATAGACCCCTTGCAGCACTTCGGAATGCAGCTCAATTTGGAGGGCAAAACCATAGGTTTCCAATTCTCAGGAGATTGAAATTCTTTTGTTTTGCCCTTCAAATTGAGCTGCTTTGACGTCACATGCAAGGGGTTTATTACTCTTTGATTGTGTAGATACCTGTGCTTTGAGCTGCTTTTCTAAGGACAGTGCAGGAGATTGACTGGCCCCTGCTATTAATTGTTGTGATCGTAACTCGGATACCAAGACATCTCGATCTTTCTCAATCACCTGGTAAATCACAAGGGATTCAGTACACATGTCTAAACATGGCATATCTAACAGTCATAGGCAATGAAAGTAATGTTTTCCATTTCAGATCACGTGTCATTCTCTTGAGAATAAGATTCTTTGTTTGAATTATATTCCTAATCATTTCTTTCATATGCAGCGTTAAACAAAGAAATGATACTAAAGGGAATAACACGTGCTGTGAAACGGGACAACATTACATCCAAGGTAAAGAGGTCTATAGTAGTGACAGTGAATAAAAGTTAGGCCGAGTTAGACAAGCCTGACAATGATCGTTACCTTCTGAACCGCTTTGAGTAGGTCTCCTCTCCAATCAGCGGTGCTGTCTGGATTTGTTGGCTACAAAAGAAACGAATCAAAATATGATATTCCAAGTATGAGAATTTGGTATGTCGCAGAGTGGAGGTGTGGGATGGCTTTGCATACGAGGTAGGACCTCTATAAAATGGTCGACCCCTGATAAGCGGATGCTTGACAATTTTTCCCGAGAGTGGTATAACACAGGAAAGTCCAGCTATTTCGAGCCCCGGATATCTCGAACTTGAGGCCACGTCCCGTGCACCTGCTTCATTAATTGATGGTCAAGCATTTTTTGTTGCGTTATTCTTCTTACCAGAGCAGTCTGTCTAGTCTGTGCCACTAGGTTCTTCAGCGCCTGGATAGCTTCAAGTAAAGCTTTCTTCTCAGCTAGCCAAGCAGACTGTAAGGAAGGCAAGTCCGGTTTTGATTCATCAGATGATGTTACGACTTGTGCCAACGACTGAATGGTTTCTGCTTCGGTGTTTAGATTATTGATAAGCCTCTGTGGAGAGCAATAACATTACTGACTTTTTCTCCTGTTTCTACTGGGTATACATATCTCACTGTACGGTCTGCAAAGCAGTAGAAGTATAGACGATCGTATGAACCGTATTAAGAGTAATAAGACTAAGAATGAAAAAAGAAAGAAAAGAGAAAAGAAAGAATGAAAGACAGGAAGAAAATAAGACAGATAGAAAGGAAGAAAGAAGGAAGGTAAAGCAAAGAGCAGTAACTATACAGAGATCAGGCACTAGTTCCGTTGCAAAATTCCCATTCTGTGATTCAAAACAAAGCACACTATATAGTAATTTACCATAACAGTAACCACGTCTCACCTCAATAACATCGTCTTGTCTCTGCTGTGAATCATCCAGAGCTGTCTTTCTCTCCTGCTCCAGTAGGTGGTTCAACAACACTCTCATCTTCTCAGTTTCATCGACACTGGACTCTAAACGAGCTCTTGTCTCTGGTGTTAGAGGATCCTGATTGATTGATGACACTGAGGAATGGAAGTAAAAAATAAATATAATAAAACAATGAAATCAAAAGATTTGAAATAACCACTTGGTTGAACATCGGACTACTGTGCGGTAGGTCGTGGGTTCAATTCCCGGCTAAACTAGCAATCATGGTCTTAAAATAAGCGAGGATAAACTGCTGCCATTATAATTAAATCTATAACTAGTCTGAATACAAGTGGCTTAGATGACCCTCCTCCTCTCACTTCATCGTGACTAACCAATATCAGACGAACGTAAAAGAACCGCTGAGGATATAATGAAACCCTGGAACTGACCACCCTTAGTTCCTGCACCTCATACTAACCACCTCGCATAAGTTCACAGCTCATTATATACATATGTCGCAACAAATTATTTCATATGGTAAAACATACATGACAATGACTGTACTCTCTCCATCTCCCTTTGGTGTTCTTGTCGTAACTGGTTCACGTAATCGTTATGAGCCTTCAACAATTCCTGGCGAACGTTGTTTATCTGTTCCAAGTTTTCTTTCTCCATTTTCTTCACTTCTTTCGCTATTTCCTCTTCTCGTCGCTGCTTCTCAGCTTCTTTCAAAGCCACGATTCTTTCTTCGTATTGTCGACGAATTTCGTCCTCGGCAATTTTTAGCTTTGAACAAATATGTTTGGGTGAATTAATGTATTGGTATATGTGTACAATAAGAATTTAGCCAAAAGACACAGACAGACAGACAGACAGACGATGTTTATAGTGCAAGGAAAGCGTAGACTGTGCATGCACTTGCATACCCTCCCTATATTTGACTACATCAATTTGCTCTTTGTTATAAAATATCAAAACCTAACAATAATATCTTGAAGTGACTTATATAAAGATGTTACTTGATGTTACACCCGAGTGCAATAATCTTTATTTACCTGTGGTCCCGCAACTGTGCCTTGTGGCACACCTGTCTTACTCATCATTTCTTCCTGGATTTTTTTAAGGTTTTTAACTTCATCTTGATGTTTTTCAGTCTGTGATTTCATTGCTTGTTCCAGTTGGTCTTTTTCAGCAACAGAAGCGCTAAATTGTTCGGTTTTTGCCTGAATTACAGTTCGCAGCTTCTCGTTTTCTTCGTCCTTTGCTTCGAAAACATTCTTTACGTTATCGAGTTCCTTTTGTAAACTTTCAACCTATGATTGCAAAGAAAAAGTTTAAAATTAAGTTTATATTGGCAAGTTTACAAGGGCATATGGACCCAGAATTAAGCACACAAGAGATGTCGAGTCCAGGAACCGAATCCGAAACTCCAAAGGTGAGAAGTGAGTGCACAACTTTTAGCTTTATTCTTATCCTGGACTGTAAATTCAGGGTCAAAATCCTTAAACCGAACTTACTTTGTCGTTTAGTTTTTCCAGCGCGTTTGCACTTGTAGCTTTGGTATTGTCAAGCTCATCAGTCAGGGCTTGGATATTTTCTTCCTTAGCTTTCACTTCGTTCCCTTTTTCCTGTAAAGCATCTTTTAATTGCTTCACGACCTCCTGATGTTCACCTAAAGCTACACGACTTTCCTGTAAGGATTTCTCCAGCTTCTCCTTGTCCTCGTGTTCTTGTTTAACTTCGTCTAACAACTGAGTGAATTTCTGCAGGTGACCTTCTTTCTCAGAGACAATAGCATCTTGCTCGGTCAGCTTTGCGTGCTGATCTTCCAGAAGCTTCTGCTGTTCTTCCATCATAGATTTCATTTCTTCCATTTGCTCAGAAAGGATTTTGTATTCGTCTTCTTTTTCGTCATACGCGTTTTTGAAGACATTTAGTTGTTCAACAAGAAGCATCACCTCTTCGTTCTTTTCCTCTAATGCTTGGTTGATGTCCTCTACGGCCTGGTCAGGTGCTGGTACAGGTTTGGTAGTCTCTCCAGAGTGTTTATTACGGGAGACCTCTTCCTGTAAAAACAATACCAAATCGAAAGATAATAATGTAGTTAATACTTACTAAATTTGTACAGGAACAGCATTAGGAAAGAAGCAAAGACTAGAGGGATCCCATAGTCGAAAATCCTATTACATTGCATAGACAATCGCTAAAACAACATGGTTCACATTAATAAGGTTCAACATTACTTGCTTCTCGATTCAGTTCTTTACATTGCAGCTACTCCAACATAAAAAGTACATAGATAATATAAGGAGCTCAGACTAAATCTAAGGAAAAGCTACTTAATGTTACGCTCCCAACATAATTCCCAAAACGCAGAGCTTAACGTCTCAGTTGTCCCTTCCTACCATTTCCCTTACCTTCAGTTCAGATATCTCCATCAATCTGTCATACAATTGTTTCTGCAAGGTCTCTTTCTCTCTTTGCCAGTCTTCTTGTTCTTGCCTAATCGTTTCCAACTCCTTTCTCACTTCCTCTTCCTTCTGCTCTGATTCCAATGCTCTCGCTAATTCTTCTTGCAGCTCATTTACACGACCAAGAAGCTCTACTTCTCGTTCAGCCTTCGAATCAAGTTCTTCTTCCAATTCTTTTCTTTTCTTTTCGAGAATCTCAATATGCTGCTGGAATTCTGCTGTTGCTGCTTCAAGGAGCTCCTTTGTCTGCGCCTCTAAATTATCCAGGTCAAACTTTTCTTGAAGTTCTTTCAGCTGACTTGCAAGGTCTTCCTTTTCGGAAGAAACTTGTTCAACAAGTTTTATGAGTTTGTCTGCCTCATCAACCTCGTGTACGCTTTCTTCCTGTGCCTTCTGGAACGCTTCAACCTGTTGCTCCAGTTCTTTAATACGGTCTTTGAGCTCTTTTACTTCAGCTGGTGGTGGTGGTGCCGCTTCGTCGTCAAACGTGCCACCTGGTGGCGGGTAATCACTCTCGACATTTTCCACTATCACAACTGGGATGTTTCCCTCCTCCTTGCCTACCAGCGCTCGCTGAAGTTGCAGAAACTTTTCTCTATTTTTTTCCTTTTCCTGCTTTAATGAGTTTATCGCCTCTTCTTTTTCTTGCAATTTTTCTTCTAATGCAGGCACGACAGCAAGCCTTTCTTCTGATGCTTGCAACAGCTCCTTTTGAGATTCGATAAGCTTCTCTGCGGCCTCTAATTCTTCGTCTAGATGTTTCTTATTGTCTTTCAGTTGTTTGATCTCGGACTTCAGTTCCTCAGATTTTTCGTAGCTCTCCAATTCTTCTCCTGAAAGCTGAGCTTTCAATTTTGTAATCTCACTGTTAGCTTCCTCTTTCTCGTCCCAAAGATGTTGCACTCCTTCTCTCAACTGTTCAATGGCATCTTTCAGCTTCTCATTTTCTTCCAAAAGGATGGCATTTTCCTCTTTGAGTCTTTCATTTTCAGAGATGACTTCGCCTTCAGATCCTGTCATCTGTGATCTACTGGCCTCTTTCTCCAGGCTTGCCAATCGCTGTACCAAAGCTTCATTCTGATTCTTTATCTCTTCATTTTCAGCAGACTTGACATCAACTTCCTTTGTCAACTCGTCTAATTTATCTGCTAAAATCTTGTTAGTGGATTCCAAATGGTTCAATTTCGATTTCAACTCCTCGATCGCTTCCGATCCTTCAAGACTTTCCGAGTCTACGAAACCAGATTCAGGTTTCTTCATCTTTACCTCTTCTTCCAGCTTCTCTTTCGCAGTTTTTAGTTCTTCCACAGCATTCTGTAGACTATCGATTTCATTCTGTGCAGCCTCTTTCTCCTTCGCCAGTTCTTCTAGCTTCTCTTCTTTAGTCTTGGATGCGTCATCTTGTTGGGATTTCTCGTCTTCTAACTTGGCAAGTTTTTCTTTCAACTCTTCGTTGGTTTTTAGGACTTCTTTCATAGACTCTTCTAATTTCATGCGCTCTTGTTTTTGGGCTTTTAAATCTTCGTTTTCTTGCAGTTTCTCTTTCTCTTTTTCGGGTTCAGCATCCTTCATTCGCTCTTTTGTTTCAGGAACAGTTTCAGCGTCCYTTTTCAATTTCTCTACTTCAGTTTCCAGTCTTTGATTTTCAGCCGCATATTCTTCCAACTGTTCATTCATTTTCCTCAATTCATTCTCTAATCTCTGTCTTTCTTGTAGCTCTTCTTCGAGACGAGCCATTAGGTTTTCCTGTGCAGACATTATTTGACCAAGCTCTTCGTTACGCTGTGCTGTTGTATCGTGGAGCTCCTTCTGGGCCATTCTTGCTTGGTTCAGCTAAAAAGAACAGGAAAGCAACATTAAAAAATACAATAGATATCGTATCACTGTGAAAAATCACAACCCGCAAAAAGAACGTTAGTGATATCCAACACGTCAAGTAAAATTGCTCTAGAGTGCCCATCCAATAATAGTCCTTGAAAAAAATAATGTCACGGCCACGGTGCATCCTTTACATCACGCAAGCTCACAATACATGGTGGTGGTTGAAGGGGTTCTTCGCAGTACCTCTTCTGCCCAGGAAATTCTGGAAATACCCTTTCCAAGAACGTAAAATGCGGAAAATTTCCAAGGAAATATGATCTGGACTTCTATAGAAACTTGATATTAGAGGAGATGAGTCCTCTAGCTCAAAATCCTTTATCAACCTTTGTGCTCTAATATAGATAATGTATTACCAAAGGGTAATATCTGGTAATATGAATATCAGTCTACCTGTCTTGTCAACACAGTAACCATTTCCAGTAACCTATCAACAGCCGTCTTCAGTTTACTGCCACTGTCTATCACGAGCTCCTCCCCCTGTTCGTCAAGACTCGGTCCCTGGAACAGACTGTCAGTCACTACCTGCTGGGATACCTCGAGTCCCTCGTCACTCAAGAATGACAGGTCGGACTTGTTAGTCAGGGTTGTGTCCCCTGCGTCTGATGCATCGTCTCCTTCACCTGTCAAATAAATAGAACAAAGATGAAATATTAGGGTTGTAAGAGGAGATGTATGAGAAGGAAAAGGTGTGGCTAATTCTGACTGTAGCTGTACAGTCGAGTACAAATCAAGAGTGGTGTAGCGGTAGTACATCCTTCTCTCATCTCTTTTTTCCTGGGTTCCATTCCTGGACTCGGTATCGATACAAGGGTTTTCTTCTCTGGTTTTCTATTTCCCCTCCCTCCGCAAAAACCAACGCGCTAAATTCCAATTTAATCTGTGATTTAGCTGCGCTTTCCAAATTGGAGCTCGTAAAAATAAAACGTTGAATGACTTGAATGACTTGTGACTTGAGACCTACCTGGGTGTCCCTGCATGGCTAAAGCCGCTGCTGGTGTTGAAGTAAAAGCTCCTTGTGGTAAAAACCTGACTCGTCTCGCCGAGTCCGGCGGGAACTGAGATGCAGAAAGTGTAGCAGATGAGAGCTCATCGCCGCCACCAAAACCACTTTCTACTTGGCTGGTTTCCTCGATTAGATCTTCTAACTGACGGTTGATAGTGTCTTCAGTAGCTGCAGCGTTCCTTACAGTGTCTGATAACAGTTTGAGGAGTCTGTTGTTGGTATTCTGTAGAGCTTCCCTGCAATCCAATAATTAATTAAAGTGCCTATCACCCTTCTGACAATATTCACAGTATTGATTCTACATGGGGTAAAATGTGGAAAAGCCCGAAAAAATTTCATAGTTTGAGTGCGGCTTCTTGAAGTTATAAAGGATTTTCCATGCTATATGCTAATATTGTGACGTATGAGGAGTAATCATTTAATATACAAAACCTTACTGGCACAGATAAATTAAATTTGAAATACGTCATTGTTTTGCCCATTGCTCTTATAGAAATTATTGCAAGCTATTTTTCACATAGAAGCCGGTTTTTCAAATTACAAGGAACAACAAATAACCATAAATGCCTCCTCATACGTCACCGCATTAGCATATGGCATAGAAAACCCTTCATAACTACAAGAAGCTGCACTCAAACTATGGATTTTTTTCAGGTTTTTCGACATCTTACCCCATGTAGAATCAATACCGTAAATATTGTCAGAAGGGTGATAGGCACTTTAAGAGCGGATGTCCCTAAATGTCAACTAACGCAGGAAAATCGAAAAAATTCGAAAATTCCTAAAATATTCCAGAAGAAAGCCTTTGTGGTTCTTATTACCAGAAAAATACTTTTAGGATATTCCGCTTTTTAAATAGCGATTTTTTAAATGTTTTGTAATTCACGCCTAAAACGGCGATTTTGAGAGGCGAATAAGGCCGAGTTTTACCGATGTACCTTGCCCCAAATTTCTTCAAA